AAAAATAAGGAATAAACTTTATACACAAAAAACCCACCATAGCATTAGTTGTAGTAGTTGTAAAAATTGGAAACAGCCTAAGTGATAAATAATAGGGGTATATTTAGTAAACTATGCATGTCCACCCAACAGAGTATTTTATGTAGCCATTGAAATAACAAGAACGTTTATCATTGTACAGTGTGATCATAGTATGTAGAAGCAGAGAATCAAAAATTATGCTTAGCTGGGCTTCCCTGGTGGCGCAGTTGTTGAGAATCTGCCTGCTAATGCAGGGGATACGGGTTCGAGCCCTGGTCTGGGAGGATCCCACATGCTGCGGAGCAACTAGGCCCGTGAGCCACAACTACTGAGCCTGCGCGTCTGGAGCCTGTGCTCCGCAACAAGAGAGGCCACGATAGTGAGAGGCCCGCGCACCGCAATGAAGAGTGGCCCCCGCTTGCCACAACTAGAGAAAGACCTCGCACAGAAACAAAGACCCAACACAGCAAAAAAAATTAATTAATTAATAAACTCCTGCCCCCAACATCTTCTTTAAAAAAAAAAAAAATTATGCTTAGCTAAGAGACAGAGGAATACACCAGTATGGTAACAGTAGTCTCTCTGGTTGATGATATTATTGGTGATTTTCTTTTTTGGTTTCTTCTTCCTCCTTTTTAAAATTTCCTTATTTTCTGTAATGAACATATATCACTCTTTTAATAGGTAAAGAGATTTATTTTCTTTTTAATAAAAAATAAAAACCTTGGACTCAGGCTAGTTAAGAAAGATGTGACACAAAGGGTAAGCAGATGGCTCTGTAACCTCATCTCCTTCTGTTAATGGAGGTCCTTTGAGTACCTCTTGTGAGTTTTGTCATCGGGAAAGAGAGCTGTTATAGACTTCTCAGCCTGTGGTAACGGTTTTTGCACAGAGAATACAGTGCTAGCTGTATAATGAGATAGGCTGTTAACACCTGTGTGCCACCACCCTCCCACCACCACCTTTTTGAGAAAATGAAACAGGTTTAACCCCACCCATTTTAAACGTAAGGACTTCTTAGGTCCATGTATCGGATTATTTTCATTTCTACACGTTTCAAAGATAAAGACATTCTTTGAAAATGTTCAAATGTGAGCAGTCGTAACATGAATTCTATTTCAACGCCATTATTACTGTGTCCTTTGTTTTCTGAAAGGATGTAGCTGCTCACTCACTGAGTGTTTTGAACTCTTTTTTTTTTCCTTCCAGAATTCTGTGGATTTACATGTTTTCTTTTCTGGCATGTAATTATTTGTAAGATGACCATGGAGTTGCTGAATTTTAGTCAGTTTCCTAATGTGTTGGAAGCTATGATGTCAGCCCAGTAGCACAATTTATCAATTCAGCAAGGCACTGGGGGCGAATGCTCTCAGGTCTGTTTTCAAACACAAGGCCATTGCCCCGAGGTTGGCTTCTTAGGCAGCCATACACCACCACCACCCGCTGCTGCCACAGGAAAGCAGTGCTGGACCAGCGTCTGGTCTTCTGTTTGTGGCTACAGGAGTGCAGTCTCGTGAACGTGTGCAGAGTATGTCAGGTTTCCAGGGATCAGCCAGCCTACCGGGTTATCCATTGGTTTTAAGAACTGCAACTGTGCAACAGGCCCAGTAGCATTCAGTGATCTGGGCCGTCCTGCCCTCCACACAGACGTGAGTTTGGAGGCTGCAAAGGGAGGAAGATGGTCTCCAGGGTTAACTTGATAAAGCATCTTGAAATGCTCACATGCCCACAACGGTGAATACCTCTATGATCGTTAAGAGTCAGGCCCTCTCTATTTAGGGTCTCTTCCCCCTTCACGGTCTGGATAAGCTCTGCCCACCTCTGGGCAGCTCTAGCTTTCTAGTGTTGCAGGACAGTTCAGCTGTCTACATCATTCAAGCCATGTTCTTCCCGGCCTGGGTGGTCTGCCTTTAAGGGACAGGTATTGCTTGTCATTTATTGTGTTAACTTTCTTTTTTTCCACTCATTTGATGAGTGGAAAAGAGTAAAAGGAAGTTTGCTATTGTCCAAAATTATGAGCCTGTACCTATCTGATAGGTACTTTTTATAATCATTAGTACTCAGAAGAGCCTCCATCAGGTTGCGAGTGATTGGTTGTATTTGATATGAACGAATACTATAATTGTGTTTTAACATTGACCCAAAGCGGCAACGTACCCAAGTCTCTCGATAGGGCATAGTGCCTTATATTCAACATAATGTGTCCCCTGCTGCCCACCTTTTGGTATAGATGAAAACTAAATCAAGCTGGGTAATCTGCAGTCTTAACAACATGGCTGGTTATTTGCCTCCTCTTCCATTCATGTTCCTCCTAATGTCTCTGCCTAAGAACAGACCTTCTATTCACAGCTGCTGCTGTTCTTTCCCATGCATGCACCCTGCAGTCACTAACAGACACCTTAATAAATAGGCTCTTAATGAATGAACATGCCTGGGGAAGGCTGCCTGCCACACCTGCTTTGAGTGATATTTGTAGTGTGAGGATATTGCTACTTGGGAAAATTAATAGGTAATGAGAGCATTGATTGGGAAGATTATTCTCCTACCTTCGAGCAGTATGAAATAAATAGGATTGATTGTTTTGTCGTGAAGAAAAATGGATGGAAAACACAATGTTTTTGTTTTATTTTAACAATTGGTGGTTGGTGACATGCATTCATTTTGCGTATTACCCTCATGGCAACAGATACCTTCGCACAACAGCATGAAAATGCAGTATCTGGTGAAAGATAATACAGCTGACAGGACTGCTCTGAAGGCACATGAGGACAGCTGACCAGCATACAGTCAGGAGATGCTTCAAGACTAATAAGCTGTTGTCACCATGTTGTTGTGAATGTATCTCTCATTCCAAGATGCCATTCGCCTAGAAATATGTATTGTGTTTGACACATTTGTCTCACTAGTATGGTGCTTTGTTTGTCTTAAACCAAAAAAGAGGCTGATGATATTTTCATTACCCTTTCTATTTTACTCCTTTCTTTGAAGACTCCCGTGGGAGAAAGGAAAAATACTACTGCTAGAGATTCTGCAACAGACGTGGGCCACCGTGTTCCAGAAGTGTCAGCCTTTGAACTAGAGATTGTTCTGACCCTTTTCTCCTCTCAGTATTCCTTTTCTTGGTATTCTGCCTCTCGAATATGACCACCTTGATTTCAGACAAGAATTAACTTCGGCATTCATAGAAGAATGTCGGAGTATGCAGGCGTTTGGGTGCTATCAGATCCACAGGTCATCTCCTTGGTTATTTCTGTTCCTAGTAAAGTACAGTGGGAACATACTATTCTCAATAAACTATAAGTTATCAGGGAAAAGATCTTTGTGTTAGAGCATAATTGATTCAGAGAACTGCAGAACATTTTAATGTGAGAAACGTACATATATTTTTTTGACTCTAAGTTTTTCTTTTGCTGTGTGTAATAGAATCTTATGTCAATTGCTTCAGTTCTAAATGGGATGTCAGTGAAGCTTTGTGGCCCCCAAAAGAAGCGTATAAAATTTTTTTTTCAGTGTTAAGTAAAGGATAACATTCATATCTAGCAATGAATATGAAAATATATTTAAAATATATCTAAGATTGGGCTCTGCTCTGCAGTCAGCACAAGGGCAAGCAAAAAGCAAAGGATATGAGGGCCACAGGCCCTGCATCTTCAGGTCTTGGGGTTAATTGCAAGTAGGAGCCGTTATGTGCCTTGCATTTGAGCCTGGTCCAAGCCAGCCTCATCACGCCCTTGCTAAAAAATTGTCTTCCTTCCCTACCATTTAAGAAATACACATAGCTAATTTTTTTTTTTTCATATTGACAACCCTTAGGCGGACCCTTAATAATCCTAACCTTGGTTTTCATCCATGGTTTGAAAGAAAAATTAAAAATGGAAACTTAAAATTGAACGTAAGGCAAACCAAGGAAAATATTTTTCAAAGTTACTTCATATATTACTCTTTTTTGAAATCAGCTCACTTTCCAGACAAAAACATAGAGATGCTATGAAAGGAATCTGCTTGAGAAATCTAGGGGAAAAAATATATTTTATTAAATTTGGCAAGCGGGATTTCCACATTTTATGATGTATATACCTTGTTTTCTACAAGTTTAATGATTTATTTACTCTTTTAATTAAAATAATTAGGTACCAATTGATTTGTGGCTTTCTTAGAACTTCTGGAGTGAGATGCAGTGTTATGTTTTGCAAAGATTATTAAACTTCAAAGTCTTAATTCAGAAATTTTCCTTTGCGTCATCAGTAATATCTCATAGGTCTAATTTTTATTATGAAGTTGGCCTTCATTAAAGCTATTTAAAATTTGTTCCAGGGGCTCCCCTGGTGGCGCAGTGGTTGAGAGTCCGCCTGCCGATGCAGGGGACGCGGGTTCGTGCCCCGGTCCGGGAAGATCCCACGTGCCGCAGAGCGGCTGGTCCCATGAGCCCCGGCCGCTGAGCCTGCGCGTCCGGAGCCTGTGCTCCGCAACGCGAGAGGCCACAGCAGTAGGAGGCCCGCGTGCCGCAAAAAAAAAAAAAAAATTTCCAGATGGAGTGAGTTCCTCCAAATACATTAATCTTTCCTTAAAATACACTTTTGCTATTAACTTGTTTTTTAAAAAAACTAAGGAATGTCAAGGTATCTCACATTTCTATTTTTATTAATAAGAATATATAAGCCAACTATTTTTGTTTATTTGCTGAGTACGATGTGATTGTATTTAAACAACAAATACTTAGCTTTAATCATCAACTTGAGATTATTAACTGACTAAACAAAAGATAAGCTGAGAGAACTTCAGAGTTCACCCAAAAGGCAGAAATTACAAACTGATTTTTTTTTTTTTCTGGACAGGTTGAATGGTGCCAGGTAGTATCCTTATTCAATCATGAAATATAAGCTTTTTAAGTAAGCTTAATTGTATCTCCTCTGGAACTTTGTAAGTTGGACCCTACAGTTTGCCTGTTAACTCCAATGGTGATTATTTCCTTTTCACAGTGCTCCAGCTGAGGCTGCAACAAAGGAGGACGAGAGAACAACTAGTGGACCAGGGCATCATGCCACGTAAGATTGAAGTGTCACTGTCATTTCTAATGTGATGTAACAAAATGGGCATGTCTAAGAAGAAGCTGTTTCACACTCTACTTTCAGTGGTATCCATTTAATCCATATACAATTTATAAGGAAAAACCAGGCATCAGCATTGCTAACCTAACAGAATCATTTAGAATACATTTTGGAAACCAGATGCAACTTAAAAGATAGACACGAATTTTATATTATCAAAGAATACCTTTAAAGCTCTGTAATTAGACTAACATCAGTTCTTACTTCAAACTTCAGCATTACTTTTAGCTTTAAAATAACTGAAACAATCACTCTAGATAATGAATCCAATGATACTGGCAAAAGTAACATGATAAGTTAATTCAAAACCTGGTTCTACTTTAATTCAAATTAATTATCTTTGATGCTATAGTATAGTCTGTATAATTATGTATCTCAATTACAGGACTAATAAACATTCTATTTATAATTAATAAAATCTTTCTTGCCCAAGTACGGATATTTTCCCAAGTAGCTCTAGGCTTCATTCCTTCATTTTTGAGAGTCTGTTAATTTTAGAATATTTGTCCAAGTTGTCTTCTTTACCTTTAATCACCAAATTTGGAGGTGATTTTATATTTTAGAGGAGAAGAGTGGTGGTTTTGTGTCGGCTGTTAGCATTATTTGGGGATTTTTGTCTAAAAATTGATTTCTCCAAGAAGTAACTTATTTGGTTTAAGAAACTAGAAAGAAATTACAAAATGTTCTTATGCTTCCCAGTCTTCACAGTCACTGCTATTGCCTTTTTTTGGTTTGTGATAAGGAACGATTTTTCTCTGTGATAAGGAGATGTTTTTCCCTGTGAAAACTTTTTTTTCTGAACTACTATTAATTGAGTATCTACATATTTTAAATCTAGCATTGTGATAAAACCAGTTTATCAGAAGCTGGTTTGATAATCTGCCAGATTTCTTCACCACTGCATTCCTGATATGAATCAATCAAACAGGATCAAAGTGTGGTGCTTTAAATACCACTGTGAAGCCAGCTGTAGTCTGCTTTTAGGAGCTGGTCCCTGGCCAAACCTGTTTGGGCTGGGCTTCTGTGAGTCTTTGCAATGCTTTAAGTACCAGAATTGAAAAGAATGTTACCAAGAGCTGATTGGCCAATATTGGGAGGTGATAGCCCAGGTTAAGCCTAGTCCTGCATTCCATCCACATTCTCTGACTGCCCATAGTGATAAGTGCAGGGTGTAATCAGACAGCAGTGGACATACACACAGAAGATTTGGCAAAGATAATTGATAGAAATACTGTAGTATGTGATGTTTTAATAAACACTGCCTCCCTGCTCTCTGGGACTTTGGAATAATGTACTAGAAGTTAACATATTAAGGAATCACTTGTCTTTAGAGTGAGTTGCATTGTGGTATGGTAGAAAGAGCATGAACCTGCCAAATTCAGAATTCTAGATGTAAATCCCGCTTTGACCACCATCTAGCCGTATAACTTCAAGAATTCATTTAACCTCTTTGAGCCTTTCATCTGTTCTGGGGCTAATACCTATGTCACAAGGCTGTTGTGATGATGAGCAGCAATATAATTGTGATGGGCCACAGAGCATGGGGCTAAGTGTGTTGTGGGTTCTCAGTAAGTGGTAACTCTGATCTCTTAGACATGAACTGCAGAGTGTCCTCAAGTTCAAGGCTAGATCACTCCAACGTTAAATGCCCTGAGGACATGTGGGCTTTTCCCAGTAACTTGTAGGGCCATAAGAGCAAAGACCTGTTAAGGAACCATCAAACAGTTCCCTTGGTAATGGTAATTTGCCCCAACTATGGGCTGGAACTAGTCTGACCTGATATATGCATTGCCATTATGTATACAACTCTGTTGTGAATGTTAACTTGTTTTATTTGTGAAACACATAATTTTAATTCTGAAACATTTAAGATTTCAATTTTGCAGATCTCCCAAAGGAACTAGGAAATAAATGGAACTGTAGAGGCACACTAATCAGATTAAGAGAAAACATCACCATGATACGCTGTAACATTTGACTGAAGTATTAACTCCTCTATTTATACCATGGAAATGATTTCTTTTTCTCACAGCCCTGAAGAGCCCAGCGGCATTCCACGAGCAGATAAAAAGCTTGGAACGAGCCAGAGTAAGGAATTTCAGTTGAAAATATTCTGCTTCTCTCTTTTGTATTAAAGTACCTGTGGACAAGTAACAGTCTTACTCCTGCGTATATCAATAGAGAAAATATAGTGTATTTTCAGGATACATGGCATATAGAGTAATATATCCTGGGGTAGTTTTATCTTGGAGGTTTATAGAAAATACAGGACATTCAAATTTTGTTCTTTTAAAACTAGTAAACTAGTGTTGTACATAAAGGACAAATCACACTTTTTTCTTACTTTTGGAGCATAACAACAGTTTTTAGAATAATGATGGAGTAATTCTGCCATTTGTTACCTCTGCAGACAGATAGCCCAAGTGATGTACTGACACCGGATCCTTCCTTCGTTTCCCTCCTTGGTCTATGTTAGCAGTACATTTGACCAAGCGTGGGAGAATTTGGCTGAATGAGAAATATTGCCATATTCAGCTCTGTTTTATTCTTTGAAATGACTCCATCATAGTTGCACACTAAATTGGTGTTTATTATTTTTCTTTAAAAGTGCCATTATTCTTTTTGTTTTAGAGGAAACTTCTATCATGCAATATGAAAATAAGCATGTTCCAAAAATTCCTTAAGAATTTTCCCAGGATGCAATAATGATCCCTTAGAGTCTTATAAAATACAAAACCCATTTTAAAGCCTTATTGTTTAGAATTGAGTACAGTTCTGAATAAGAAAGTATGATTAAAGATAGGAATTCATCACAGAAAATACATTAGGATTTTTAGGAAATGTGTTATCTTAGATGGATTTTTACTTGACCTGAAGTGTAGATTTTATTGATTTTAGATATTTAAATGTTCAAATCCTCTGTTCAAAAGTCATCTTCAAAATTATGAGTCTTTTTGCCTTTTCCACGTTTTAAAATAAAAGTTTATAAAGTGCTTACTTTATACCAGCATACACTTCAAATCCCTGTACAACTTTGAAGGCTGCAATTTAAATCATGTATTGGATAATAGTTTTTCAAAGTACTAATTTCTACTCTTCCTCTCAAAATCATGATCAAAAGAGTATACAATTTATTTAAATAGAGTACCTTGAGAAAAAAATGTAAAACTACAATAAACCATAAACAATTTATGGTAAGAATTTTTCTCTCTCTCTCTTTTTTAAAGACCGAAAACTTTTTGAAGCACAAGATTCGGAGCCGACCAGATCGTTCTGAACTTGTCAGGATGCACATTTTAGAAGGTAAAAATTCTGTTTCTGCTGCTTTTGCTACATTTTCTCAAGAAAAGAAGTGAGAATTCCACCATTTCTGTTTATTCCCATTTTAATAACTTTTTACCCCACAGGCTGACATCCTCCAAACTGGATAGCAACATGAAGACCCAAAGCTAAAAATGTTATGTTAGATACATGGGGAAGGTTTGATTCTCCAAATAGCCAATTGATGGACTGACTCTTGCCCGCCAGCTGGGGGTGCTATAGGTATCTCTACCATACTGTTCTGGAAAAACATTTTTCGGTCCAGAGGATTTCTTCATCAGTGAGGGATGTGTGCCTGCTCATTAAGTCATAAGGGGTATGACAGCCACAAGTCTAACCCTAGATTTTCAACGACTCGGACCCTGTTAGGTCTACCTGGGGCAAGGCCCATACCTGACATTTTCTCTTTGTTGCTACTTAACCCACAACAATCCAGCTTGATCTGATCATTATCACAAAGTAGCTCCACCTGACCCACCAGATTTTCTCGATGACTGAGCCTCATCTCTTAGGAAGCTAGTAAGGACAGTTCCACTCCATCTTTGGTGAGACATGTGGCTCAGGCCGTGATGTTTTTCTCTCTAAAAACAGAGCATTCTCGAAATCTGGTATCTCCACCATTAAATTCCTGAGTTACATTTTCTTTCATTGTTTTGCTTTACTGACTAATTTGTGGACTAAGGAGCTTTGACCCTGTGATAGTCTTGAGAGTGTTAAACCCGGAGCAGAAACAGAAACTTCTCAAACATTTAGAGACAGTTATTAGGTAGGAGGAAGATTAGATTTGTGTTCTCTGGCCTAATGATAGAGTTAGTATTAGAATTAGGTTGATATGACAGAGTATTAGATTATAGCTCAGCATAAAGGTCAGTCAGATATGTCCAAAATAAAATCTTCAAGAAGTGATACGGTTGCCATTATTAGAGCTGTTAGTACACTGGCCTGCAAGCTGGACACCAGAGACCCAAGTGAGCCAGATGGATGCCCACCTTCATGGAGCTTACATTCTAGTGGCACAGACAGATGATGCACAGGCAAAACAAATAAATTACAGATTGTGAAAAGTGCTCTATAGGGAATAAACAGGCTGCTGTGATAGGGAATAAACACAGGCTGAAACCACATTAAGGATGTTGTAAAGAAGTTCCAACTATCAAGTTGGCCTCTATAACCCCAAGTAGTGTCTCTTCTAATCCAAATAATCTATGATTATGTAATCATCTTCATGTCTGGGATGGGAGGTGAGAGGTCTGTTCCCGTCTCTACTTTGGGTTGTGAACGTCTCAGAAGTCTCCTGGACTGAAAAAGCTTTTTCAGAACTCCAGTGGTAGGGTAGGAGCAGCTACCAGCTGTCAGGGATAAGTGAATCTTCAGAGAAGCAAATTTGCTGGTAAGTAACTTGGTAAATGGCTCCTTCTGTGCCTCAAAATATCTTGACGTATAAGGAACATTTTTGTAGGAATGATGCTGTCTGTTTCAACTTGCCTTCTAACTGTAACAGGCTTTATTAATATAATTAAAACTAAGGCAAATACATTTAACTATCAAAAGGAATCATATCTGCTTTTTCCAAAAAGAGACTACTCGGCATTTAAAAACCTAACTTTGTATATGAATGAACCATAAGTGATGTTTTTAGGACATCTCTTCTAAAGTAGAGACTTTTGAAGTAAGAAAGAATGTCTCATCTATAATTTCAAAAATACCTTAAAACCACCCCCAACTTATTATAACATTATCCCAATTTTGATTGAATTGGATGTTTGGCAGGCAAAAGTCTAAATTATTTCCTGAAGTTCAGCAGCCGAAACCCAGCCTCGGCCTCATGGAGATGTTGAAGCAATCAGACCAGGAACAGAAGCATACCAAAATGCCAGCCTCTAATTATTTACTTTTGGAATATTTTCTTCCCAAACATTCCTGATATCACTTGGATAATGTCAGTGGAAGAGAGGAAAAGGCAGAAGACTCTCCTGCCTAGATCTTAACAAAAGCTTTTAAACATCAACCTAAAAGTGGTTTGCACGATCTACTTCCCCCGACCTATCATCTTCCTGTGTGGCTAGAAGGGTTCTGTCTAATAAGATCGGGGCCAGAGTTGTTTATACAGGAAAATTATAAAAATGAGATGGGCATACGTGTTATTTTAACTTATAGAAACATGAATTTATTTGCCAGTATTCCAACTTAGGGGTAGGACCTTCACGTGCGGGGAAGGCTTTAACGAATGGAGCTCACATCTTTCTTGTATAAAGCATAGCCATTGTACATCATCTGCAATTTCCATTCACGGTGGAACAAAACTCAAAGACACTTGAAAAGCAATCTGAGTTTAAAAATCCTAGATTTTATCATTTTTCCCCAAGTCTTTTACCGTTATTAGTTGCCCTAAGTAATATGACAGTGATTTTTTTTTTAATGGCTTACCTTTATCAAGTCATTCCAAAGCATTTAACTCAGGTTTCCAAGAAATAATCATTTTATTTTTGAAGTTTATGATTTCCCCATAACATCTGGTTAAATTATGTATTGGCAATAGCAGTCACAATAGTGATGAGCTATTTTGTAGACAATCAAGATTGATACTTGGTAAGCACATAGCTTAACCAGTAGAAAGACAAGTGATCAGCTGTGCTGGAGGGTAGTTTATTGGCCCTTGGGGTCTCAGTGCTCTTTGGGCCTCAGCCAGGCCATCTAACCTACAGAATGAAGAACATCAGATAATCCTGACGTTACTTACAGGGAATTTCATTAAAAGACCGTATACTGAATGATTTAAGGGGCAAGCGACTTTCAACTCAGTATTGGGTTAACCTCTCATCATTATCTTTAATCAATCATAAACATTATTTAGAACAATGTAATAAAATGATGAGAGTTACCGGAAACACAAGTAATTGACAGAATTATGCAAATGAATGAGTTATGATATAGTATCACACCTGTTATACAACTTTATGCATATGTGGGTAGATGAGTTGATGCTTCTATATGACTATTAATTACTATGTAATTGAATGTCCCAAGGTTATGTGTTCAGAATAAACCCAAATTCTTAATTATGATGAAGGACTCTGGGATGCACATGGATTGATCTAAGGATGTGATTTGTAGCTCTTCCCACTGACTCCTGCAGAGAAGCTTATATCCTGAGATAACAGTTTCTTCCCTTCTACGAATTGACTTTCCAATGAAGCCAAATCTAAAACTGCAGACTTCTTGAGCCATGAACCACATCTCTCTTGTTCATCCTCTGTATCCCCCAATGCCTAATAAATATGAATTTGACTCTCCTACCATAAATGAGCAATAGCAGGAGCCCATTTTTGGCTTGAGTTCATATTAATTTGAGTCTGAGGACATCCATATTGTATAGATGGTATTAAGCTATCTAGGACTAAAAATGTAAATTGTATACAGGAGCATTCTTAGACAGTCATTGTCTCACCATAAATATGTTAGGAACACGTAAGTCTGTTTATACCAGTTTAAATTAGTTGGCCTGAAATAACATTGTGGAATAGAAATAGTAATTCAAGTAATGGTTAAAACTGTGTTTCCTGTTTTAGAAACATTTGCAGAGCCATCCCTGCAGGCTACTCAGATGAAGTTGAAAAGAGCTCGACTAGCTGATGATCTGAATGAAAAGATTGCTCAAAGACCTGGTCCTATGGAGCTGGTAGAGAAAAACATCCTTCCTGTAGACTCCAGTGTTAAGGAAGCAATTATAGGCAAGACTCTAAAATTTTACTGTTTTCTGGGAGAAAAAGAAACTTGGAAGTTTTAAATAAGAAAAATAAGTTTTAAATAAGAAAAATTTAATTTAAAAAGCCAGCACTAATCATGACTGTTGTTTTCTGGGTAAATTAGAAATTGATTAACATTTGCACTGATTCCCATTATTACTGTTAGTGTTATTATATTATGTATTACAAGACAAGCATCTCTTACCACAGAGATTCCTCTTGTTACATCTGAGGTTTAAGTCTGTCTTTTTTTTTTTTAATTAGGGTATAGTTGCTTTACAATGTTTAAGTCTTTAAGTTCTGATTTTGTTACCATGTTTTCTAAGTTAAACTTATTGTGTTATGTTTAGTTTCTGTTGTTTTAAGATTTTTACAGATTTTTCATTATTTTAGTTCAGTTTACTTCTAGGAAAGATAAAAATAGTTTGTTCAGTCTTAGTTCAGCAAGGTGAATAGCAGATGCATATAGATGTATTCATTAAGAATGGTAGAATCTGCCCATTTTATCCCAGTCTTACCATACTTAGTTACTAATGTTTACCATTTTTTTCTGGCATAAACTTCAGCAGAAAAAAATTGTTTTCCAGAATAATGCCACTTTTTCAGCAAGCAATTTTGAAAAGTTAATATCCTACTTAAAAAACTATTATAGTTTCCATTAATCATGGGGACTTCATATTTTGCATTAGTATGAATTTAAATCTTAGGTAGTCTGTAGTCAGTAATTCTAAATAGTACAGTTCACTATGATTCCATTCAATTCCAAAGAAATGGGCCCCAAAAGGTAAGATGTCAGTACAGCAGGGCTGCTCTGTGAAGTGGGACTTATCAACAGATACCCAGTCAGAGCCCCATTTTGCCTTATAATGTTTTTTAACAGTTGGATTCCAAATGTTGGATCCAAGTTGGATCCAAACAAGGTCCACACATTGCCTTTAGCTGATGTATCTCTTAAGTCAATCTCCTGGGTGGGTCTTCCTCCTTTCTTTCCTTACTTTTTATTTGTTGATGAACAGGCTTTTATCCTGTAGCATTTCCACATTACTAGATTTTTCTGAATGCATTTGCATCCCTAGGTGTCATTAAAAACTTTCTTGTCTCCTGGACTTCCTATAACTAGTATTTGGATCCAGAAACTTGATCTGATTCAGGTTGGGTTTTTTCCCCCAAGTATTCATCTTAGATAGTGGTGTGTTCTTCCATGGGGAAGTACATTATGTTCAATTTTGTTTTTAACCAGCTTCTTAAGTCCTTATAATGAATAATATTTCTCCTTTTTCATTTTAACCTTGGTATTCCAAGGCCAAGATAAATTAAGAATCATTTCTTTCTTTAGGTGTTGGGAAGGAGGACTATCCCCAAACTCAGGGCGATTTCTCATTTGACGAAGACAGCAGTGATGCTTTGTCTCCAGACCAGCCAGCCAGCCAGGAGTCGCAGGGGTCAGCCGCGTCCCCAAGTGAGCCAAAAGTTAGTGAATCGCCATCTCCTGTGACTACAAACACTCCAGCCCAGGTATCACCTTTCTTGTTTTTACCCCTCAACAGAGGAGGTGCCTTGTTTTTAGCATATCAGCGTAATATGTTTTCACCAGGGGAGAAGTCTGAAAGTGAAGAAGAATATAGGTTTGTCACGTGGAATCGAACTACTAACATTTTCAATAGACTCTTACGTTATTTCTGTTCTATATACATATTTTTATTTTACAGTTTTATAACTCACTTAAAAATTTTTTCATATAACTTTCTTTTGAGATGTAACTCACATATCATAAAATCCATCCTTTTTCTAACCATCTTAACCACTTTAAGTGTACAGTTCTGTAGTGGTACATATATTCACATTGTTGTGCAACAGATCTCCAGAACGTTTTTGTCTTACAAAACTGAAACTTAAACCCATTAAACAACAACTGCCCATTCCCCCAGGCCTGCTAACCACCATTCTACTTCTGTCTCGATGAATTTGACTACTTTGAATATCTCATATAAATGGAATCATACAGTATTTGTCTTTGTGACTGGCTTATATCATTTAACAATGTCCTCAAGGTTCATTCATGTTGTAGCATGTGACAGGGTTTCCTTCAGTTTTAAGACTGAATAATATTCCATTTTATGGATATTCCACATTTTATTTATCCATTCATCAGTGGACATTGGGTTGCTTCCATCTCTTGGCTATTGTGAATAATGATGAGTACATGAATGTGGAAATATCTCTTCGAGACCCTGCTTTTAGTGCTTTTGGGCATATATCCAGAAATGGGATTGTTGGATCATATGGTAGTTCTATTTTTAATTTTTAAGGAACCTCCATACTGACTGCAACATTTCACGCTCCCACCAACAGCACACAAGTGTTCCTGTTTCTCCACATCTTCACCAACACCTGTTAATTTCTATTCTTTTGATAGTAGCTATTCTAGTGGTGCAAAGTGATCTCACTGTGTTTTTTTTTAATTGTAGTTAATTTACAATGTTGTGTTAGTTTCAAGTGCACAGCAAAATGATTCAGTTATACATATAAATATATATGTGTGTATATATACTTAAATTTTTTTTTTCAGATTCTTTTCCATTGTAGTATTACAAGACATTGAGTATGTTCACCTGTGGTTTTGATTTGCATTTCTGTAATCATTAGTGATGTTGAGCATTTTTTCATATGCTTGTTGGCCATTTGTATATCATTTTTGGAGAAATGTCTATTCAGATCTTTTGCCCTCTTTAAAATCAGGTCATTTGTTTTTCTGTTGAGTTCTTTATATGTTCTAGATATTAACTAACCCCTTATCATATATATAATTTTCAAATACTTTCTCCCATTCCATGTGTCACCTTTTCACTCTGTTGATAGTAACCTTTAATGAACAGAAGTTTTTAAGTTTGATCTACTCCCACTTGTGTATTTTTGGTTTTGTTGCCTGTGCTTTTGGTGTTACACTAAGAAATCATTGCCAAATCTGATGTCATGAATTGGATTGATTGGATCCTGTTTTCTTCTAGGATTTTCATGGATTGGGGTTTTATATTTAGGTCTTTAATTGGTTTTAATTTTTGTAATATGGTACAAGCTAAAGATCCAACTTCATTCTTTTGCATGTGTATATCCAGTTTTCCCAACACCATTTGTTGAAAAGACTGTAAGACTGTCCTTTCCCCCACTGAATAGTCTTGGCACTCTTGTCAAAGATCATCTGGTCATGTACAAAGGAATTTATTTATGGGCTTTCTATTCTATTGCATTGGCCTATATCTCTGTCTTTATGTCAGTACCACACTGTTTTGATTACTGTAGCTTCATAGTAAATTTTGAAATCAGGAAGTGTGAGATCTCCAACTTTTGTTCTTCTTTTTCAAGACTGTTTTGGCTATTTGGGGTCCCTTGAGATTCCGTATTCATGTTAAGATGGATTTTTCTATTTCTGTTAAAAAAAAAAAAAGGCACTGGGAAAATTCACCCTTTTAAAGTGTATAATTCATTGCTTACTAGTATATTCACAGACTTGTGCAACTCTCACCACTATCTAATTCCAGAACACTTTCATCTTCCCCAAAAGAAGCCCATACCCCTCAGCAGTCACTCCCTGTTAGCTCCTCCACTCAGCCCTAAGCAACCAGGAGTCCACTTTCTGTCTCCGGATTTACCTATTCTGGATATTCTATATAAATGGAATCATACAATATCTGGCCTTTTGTGACTGGCTTCTTTCACTTAGTGTAACGCTTTTAAGGTTCATCCATGTTGTAGCATGTATCAGTACATCATCCCTTGTTATGGCTGAGTAATATTCCATTGTGTTGATATACCACATTTTGTCTACTCATCAGCTAGTGAACATTTGCTATTATGAATAATGGAGCTATGAACACTTGTGTACACGTTTTTATGTGGACATATGTTTTCACTTCTCTTGGGTATATACCTTGGAGTGGAATTGCTGTGTCATACGGTAACTGTATGTGTTCCTTGCTTTTATACCTCAGTATTTAATTGAACTGATACACTGTATCTCTTTTAACCAATTACCTGTTACTGGTTACCTAGAGTTGTTTCCTGTTGTTCATTCTTAAACACACAAGTGCCCCTGTTGTATTCTCACATTCTTGCTACATGCTGATTTTTTAATACATACATTGTTGGGCATTTGTCTAATATTTCTTTGAATAATTACTAGATAATGAAATGGATTTCAATCTTTTGTTAAGCAAAAGGTAGGCACTCAACTGCCTTCCAGGAAAGTAATACAGTCTGTATTCCACCATCACTATGTCTTTATCACAAGTAGGTAATATCATTACTTTAAACCTTGCACACTGGAGATTTGAATGTTTTAATTGGCCCCTTGATTTTGGTTAGATTGAATTCATTTGTTCAACAAATATTTATCAAGCACCTATTATGTGTCAGAAACTTAGAATCTAGTGCATGCAAAAGATCTAATATTTTTTGATAATTGCATTGGAAATTTACATTTCTTATTTTTCAGTGAGTGTTAGAGTTTCTTTTGGTTTTATAAGAACTCTGTGCTGCACATAATCTGTTGTTTTTTCTCTCTTTATGGTGTTTTTACCTTACTGAAATTTTAATAGTATTTAGTTATATTAAAGTCAAAACTATTGAACTACTTAACGGGATTGGTCAAGTTCAGTAGAAAATGTTCTTGTTAAAGCCCAGCATCATAGAATTTTTGAATTGGAAAGGAATTTAGCAATTACCTGCCTTATTAACCCTTTCACGGGGGGAGGCCTGGGTTCTCTCTCATTTGCGAGTAGAGCCTCTCCCTCTTGGAGTCACAAGAGGTAGTGTGGGTAGCTACACTTCGTATTCTCCTGTCAGAGTTTACAGGGCAAGTGTGACTGGCCCCTCAGCTTCGCTGGAACCTGGCCTGGAGGAAGGATGAGGGTCAGCGCCCAGCCCATGGTCTGAGGTCTAAGCAGGCAGGAACGGAGAGAAGGGAGACCAGCCCCTACTGTTCTCACCGTATCTGCTGCACCCCGGTTTTGCGCTTTAAAAATAGGGCTAGGGCTTCCCTGGTGGCGCAGTGGTTGAGAGTCCGCCTGCCGATGCAGGGGACACAGGTTCGTGCCCTGGTCCGGGAAGATCCCACATGCCGCGGAGCGGCTGGGCCCGTGAGCCATGGCCGCTGAGCCAGCGCGTCCGGAGCCTGTGCTCTGCAACGGGAGAGGCCACAACAGCGAGACGCCCACATACCGCAAAAAAAAAAAAAAAAAGGCTAAAAAGAATGTCAAATATGTAAGTACATACCATTAGAAAACAGTTCTACTTATCCATTTGGGTTGTTTGTTCTGTTTCTGTCTGAGTAGGTCAGGACATCAGACAGCTATTAGCATGGCCTTAGCTTTTTAGTAATAGAGAATTTTTGTCACCTCAGCCATCTACCTGGTAATGGCTTCATGACAGTTCCACCTGTGTAAGAGACTATCATTCTCCTCTTCCCTGCATTGCTTGTACTATTACGTTCTTAGCTTTGGTCTTGAAACTTGGTCTCCAGCTAAGTTTATAAGTGAGAAACTTTAACCGGAGGCTGTCCCAACCAGTGGGCTGACATTCTAGAATTCCTTGAAGGAAAGAAGGAACAGCAGTGTTTCTTGAAGAATAAATACAGCCTATTTATTGCCAGTGCAGCACACACTAAGCCTCAGGTCATTCATGAACTTAAACATTTGTTTTTATAACACTCTTTAGTGTTGCTGCAATGCCAGTTCTGCCTGTTACACACAGACCATTAATAGTCTGCTTTTTATCTGTCAGTAGTGCCTTTGGGAAAAGACCCACTTTAGAGAATCGTGCACTCCCTACTTACACGTTCAAGTAAAAGGACCTAGAATCAGGGCTGGCTTACTGCACCTTTACCCATTACACATTTCCTGCACCGTATATCTTGAAACCTTCTTAAATTGTGTCCTTTATAAAATTCCTTTTGATTGTGTTTTAGTATTTATAAGTAAGGACTCTGACAAAGATTCTTAATATTATACTTTTATTTGTGCAATTAAAAAAGCATCTCCATGTTAACTCTGCTATATTGATGTCAGATCGCAAGTATGTTTTAGGTTATTTGTTTTGTTTCTGTTTTCTTTTCTTTTCTTTTTTTTTTTTTTTTTTTTTGCGGTATGCGGGCCTCTCCCTGTTGTGGCCTCTCCCGTTGCGGAGCACAGGCTCCAGACGAGCAGGCTCAGTGGTCACGGCTCACGGGCCCAGCCGCTCCGCGGCATGTGGGATCTTCCCAGACCGGGGCACGAACCCGCGTCCCCTGCATCGGCAGGCGGACTCTCAACCACTGCGCCACCAGGGAAGCCCTGTTTTGGCAAATTTTATACTTTAATTATATTCACTGTTATCTAGTGTTTGTCCAGGCACCTCATTTGATATATATGTAAAATATATTTATCTCCCTAAATATAATTACTTTCACATTTTCTAGTTTAAGGAAAAGTACCTGAAAAGATTCCTTCTCATTGGACATCAAGTTTACAGAGGGAAGGGAC